AAAGAGTGTGGTGAAAAAAGTAGTCTACATGTTTAATGCAATTCCCACCAAAATCCCAATGACATTCGTTAAAGAGATCGAAAAATCTACCGTGAAATTTATATGGAAACACAAGAGGCCACGAATAGCCAAGGCAATACTCAGTCAAAAGAACAATGCAGGAGGTATCACAATACCTGACTTCAAACTATATTACAAAGCAACAACAATAAAAACAGCATGGTACTGGCACAAAAACAGACATGAAGACCAGTGGAACAGAATAGAGGATCCAGGTATGAAGCCACACAACTATAACCAACTTGTCTTTGACAAAGGAGCTAAAAATATACGATGAAGAAAAGACAGCCTCTTCAACAAAAACTGCTGGGAAAACTGGTTAGCAGTCTGCAAAAAAACTGAAACTAGATCCATGTATATCACCCTATACCAAGATCAACTCAAAATGGATCAAGGATCTTAATATCAGACCACAAACTCTAAAGACCCCAAACTCTTTCCTACAGGAAAGAGTAGGAAATACTCTGGAATTAGTAGGTATAGGTAAGAACTTTCTCAATGGAACCCCAGCAGCACAGCAACTAAGAGATAGCATAGATAAATGGGACTTCATAAAACTAAAAAGCTTCTGCTCAACAAAAGAAATGGTCTCTAAACTGAAGAGAACACCCACAGAGTGGGAGAAAATATTTGCCAGCTACACATTAGACAAAGGACTGATAACCAGAATATATATATATATATATATATATATATACAGGGAACTTAAAAAACTAAATTCTCCCAAAATTAATGAACCAATAAAGAAATGGGCAAGTGAACTAAATAGAACTTTCTCAAAAGAAGAAATTCAAATGGCCAAAAAACACATGAAAAAATGCTCACCATCTCTAGCAATAAAGGAAATGCAAATTAAAACCACACTAAGATTCCACCTCACCCCTGTTAGAATAGCCATCATTAGCAACACCACTAACAACAGGTGTTGGCGACGATGCGGGGAAAAAGGAACCCTCTTACACTGCTGGTGGGAATGTAAACTAGTACAACCACTCTGGAAAAAAATTTGGAGGCTACTTAAAAAGCTAAACATTGATCTACCATATGATCTAGCAATACCACTCTTGGGGATATACCCAAAAGACTGTGACACAGGTTACTCCAGAGGCACCTGCACACCCATGTTTATTGCAGCACTATTCACAATAGCCAAGTTATGGAAACAGCCAAGATGCCCGACTACTGATGAATGGATTAAGAAAATGTGGTATTTATACACAATGGAATTTTATGCAGCCATGAAGAAGAACAAAATGTTATCATTCGCCGGTAAATGGATGGAATTGGAGAACATCATTCTGAGTGAGGTTAGCCTGGCCCAAAAGACCAAAAATCATATGTTCTCCCTCATATGCAGACATTAGATGAAGGGCAAACACAACAATGGGATTGGACTTTGATCACAAGATAAAAGCGAGAGCACACAAGGGAGGTATGAGGATAGGTAAGATAAAACTAGACAGCATTTGTTGCCCTCAATGCAGAGAAACTAAAACAGATACTTTAAAGCAACTGAGGCCAATAGGAGAAGGGGACCAGGAACTAGAGAAAAGGTGAGATCAAGAAGAATTAACTTAGAAGGTAACACACATGCACGGGAAATCAATGTGAGTCAACTCCCTGTATAGGTATCCTTATCTCAACTAGCAAAAACCCTTGGTCCTTCCTATTATTGCTTATACTCTCTCTACAACAAAATTAAAGATAAGGGCAAAATAGTTTCTGCTGGGTATTGTGGGGGTTGGGGGAGAGGGAAAGGGTGGTAAGACAGGGGGTAAGGAGGGGGGGAGAAATGACCCAAACATTGTATGCACATATAAATTAAAAAAAAAGAAAAAAAAAGTAAAAACAGTAAAAAAAAAAAAAAGAAAATATATTTCCAAAGAGCAAAGTTAAAAAAAAAAAAGAGTGTGGTGTACAATACTAGTCAACTCCCTGTATAGCTATCCTTATTTCAACTACCAAAAACCCTGTTCCTTCCTACTATTGCTTATACTCTTTCTTCAACAAAATTAGACATAAGGGCAAAATAGTTTCTGCCTGGAAGAGAGGGGGTGGGGAGAGAGAGAGAGGGTGAGGTGGTTAAGAGAGGGAGTGGGGGGAAGGGGGAAGAAATGATCCAAACATTGTATGCACATATAAATAAAAAAAAAGAGTGATGGTGTGCATGTGATTACTTATAAAGCAGAGAGACAGAGGTGAGGGGTATTAGTAGAAAGTCCTACTTCTGAAAGTTTACAGAGATCAGTTCTGCTTTGTTTGCCCAGATCACTTGCAGAGAAGGCAGCTTGTCGAGTGGGACTTGGAAGAAGGGAAAGATTTCATAGGCAAAGACAAGCATGTTCCTGGAGGGGAAGGTATGAGCCACAGAACGGAAGTGACACAGGATGGCAGCATTCTTCTGACAGGAAGCAGAAAACTGTCTTGTGGGAACCTTTTAGCATTTATGAGGACCAGTAGAACTGAAGCTGTGTGAGAAGGTGGGGTGCAGGTTCTGGATCCAAATCCCAGTGCAGTCTCTTGAGAGCAAATTCCCTCATTTGTGATCAGGAAGTAGAGCAAAATGATGAGCATCTTCAGGGAGGAGGGGAGTGTCAAGGAGCTGGATTTGTCTCTGTAGCTGTGGGCAGCATGGAGAGAATGTGACTATCAGATGATATTGTCAGGGGGTGAAGACTGAAAGAGAATAGAAGCAATGAACAGAGTTGGGGGCCAAATTGTGTCAGCATAAATTGATGAGGCAGTGAGGAGGGGAAGGACAAAAAAGAAACTGATCAGTCTGAGGCAGAGGTGAAGGATGAAGTCAAAGACAGATGCATGGTTTCAAACTGGGTGACTCAAATGTTGACACAGATACAAGGATTGGATTGAGATTCCCTTCTAGGACATCTCCTCCCTAGTTTTTTTGCAAGGGGAATGGGTGAGGTCACCCAAGGCTGGGATGCACAGAGAGATAGGTGACAACTCCAGGAATAACCAGGGGGAAGTGGGCACCCTAGTGGTACAGGAGGGCCAGAGGGGCTGCCCCAAGACTCATAGGAGAGGAGGGAAAGATCACATGTATATCCAAACTCCCAGAAGGAGAAACCTTGAGAATGGTTAGGGGTTAAGAGTGCAAATGTTCAAAGACATTTGGCAGGATGAAGACTGAAAACTGGTTCTTGGGGTTAGAATTTAGGACACAATGGACATTTAGGACATTCTTTGGGGAGACTGTTTCAGCAGTAAAACAGCTCTTTTCTGTTATTCCCATTCCGTTAGTACATTTTTGTTTCTGATATGGAACCTTCCGCACCTCCTACTTATGGGGCTGGTCCAAGTTTCCCACGCATCGAGTCCATTGCGGACTCACTGGGGCTATTCACACATTCCCAGTTGTTTTCTTTTTCCTTTAGAGACACTAATGGGCTCAAGGAAACATGGATAGGAAGCCCAACCAAAGATGATGGTGGTGAATTTAGATTGAGACCAGCCTGATGTGGGGCAGGCCTGATCCTTGAATGTCTCTCAGTCCCTTTCCCAGCTTGCAAGATCAGAAGGTCTCCCCCCTCTTAGAAGGATGCCACCCCTCGTTCGATGCCCGGCTCTTCCAGCCTTGAAATGCTTAGTGATTGAACAAGCGCCCCACATGGACACTCTGCAGATTGTGCAGCGGGTCCTGTCCCTTGTCATGGCACAACCACCCGGGGAATTTCCCTCACTTTTGGAGGGTTTTCAACAGTGCTCCAACAAGGTTTCGCCCATATCAGAAGATTACGAGTTCCCTCGAGGTGACAGCGCCACTCTCAAATCCAATGTTCTTTGCTTCCTCTTGAGGGCCCGGGTCCCGGAGGTGCGGTTGAGCACATTCCCAGATCTCGGCTTTCAGAAGCGCCCTTAAGGTTTTCCTTGTCCCTGAGCTGGGGCCGCTTTGACGCCACACAGCCATCCTTGGTCGAATACTCGGAAGTTCTGCAGGTTCTCACTTTCCGTCTCCGGCATCGGAGGGTGTAGGGAGGGAGGTCGTACCTGCTTCCCTTCACTTTCTCAGCGTCCACGCCGCGCACCTGGTTACTGCCCTGCTTGTAAGCACAGTCTAGTCTATCTGTGCTTGTCTTTCTCCCGTGAGGACGCCACAATCTGTTAAAGTCCCTCATCTACCGAACCAGGGAAGCAAGGCACACAGGTAAGCTGTGGAATACACTCCAAGCTTCTCGAAGCTGAGTTTCCTGTCCTAGGGTGAGGTTTCCAAGTTGCCGGCACTCTAAACCCTTTTTAGCAGGACCTATTTGGGGTCCTCCAACTTCATTCGCTTTGTTTAGAGTTCAACAGCGCCGCCTCCTGGAACTTAGATGGGAGTGACCATCGCGCCAGGTTGGCATAGAGTGTTTTTTTAAAAGTTTGCCACTCTCCGCTTCGTTTTGGACCCACCCCTCCACATTCTTGCCAAATGAATAAGCAGATAAGATCAAAAGTGACAGATTCCATCCGCTCCTCCCAGCTCCCCCGCATCCTGCCGATCGTAGTACTGCCCCCCATTCAATGCTCTTTGTGGAACAAGTGTCATTTATATGCAACTCTGTGTCATTTCGGCCCCTTGAAATGGAAATCATCAAGAGATCCAAGTACGACCCATAGCACGTTCCCGCAGGGGCTCCCCGCCAACTTCTTTGGGGGGTGAGAGATGGACTTGTCTAAAGACAAACAAACCAGACTAACTCGCTCCCTGACACTCCCGACCCCACCACATTTGTCAGAAATTCTCCTGCCACCACTTGGAAAGAGCACAGGATCTCAGAGCCCTGAGTGTTCATGCAACTTTCCCACGCGACGATACGGGGCGTGGCCTTGGTATAACCCAGAGAGTCGTAGTCCCTAGCAAGCTGTGAGCTAAGGATGCGGGTGGGAGTGGGAGAGCACTGGTGTTAGACCAGTTCCCTCCACTTCGCCCTGTAGTCGTCCCAGCCACATAAACTGTTCTCCGGGACCAAGCGCTCCTCGTTTTTCCATAACCAGGAGCCCTGAACCCCGGGTTTGGGTTCATCGCTCTCCTATCGATGGTTTTAATGGAATGCCACACCCTAAACAACCCGCTGCTAATGTCCTCTTTCTTGCCCAGCAACCCCTCCTAGATTCTGCAGGTGTTAGGCACAGAAATCCACCTCTCCCCATTTAAAGCCCACTTCTGGGTTTCTTGTTCCTAGAATCCGGTAATACAAGCTTTCCTTGAAATCGATGGTGATGTTTTTGGGGGAAGGGAAAAGGAAAGAGGGTTAAGGCATTAAGGAGGAGCTGCACGTGCGGGGCCCCAAGTGGTGGGGGCGGGAACTATCGCCTTGCTAAAGGGGATGCTCTTCTTCCGTGGCGCGGGTGGGCCCCGCCCGAGGACCTCCCTGCACGCTGGTTGGGTTTACTCATCCCAGCGAGGTGATCCCAGGCAAGAGGGCGGGCGCTAGGCGACCGGAGAACCCAGTAATCCGAGAATGCAGCATCAGCCCTTCCCACCAGGCACTTCCTTCCTTTTCCCGAACGTCCAGAGAGGGAGGGCCGTGCATTTATAAACTCAGGCCCCAGCGGACCCGACATGTCAGAGGCTGCCTTGCCTGGACATCGCGCCGCGGCCAGAAGTGTCTGGACTGGGATCCACGCTTTCGGTTGTCGCCAGCGGTGCCCCGCGTCCCTTTGCCCCTGCCGGGTTTCCACCAGGTTGCAGCGTCTTCGCTTGCACACAGCACCCCTAGACAGTATGCTCTGGGTTCTCCTTTTCGGAGTGCTGGCTCCGGCCAGTCTGGGGTTCTCAGTACCAGCAGAGCTGCAGTCCAGTGGCAGCCAGTGCGTCGAGCACGAGTGTTTCGCGCTTTTCCGGGGGCCCTCGACTTTCTTCGCTGCCAGCCAGGCCTGCGAAAGCCTTCAAGGACACCTGATGACTGTGCGCTCTTCGGTGGCTGCCGATGTCATCTCCCTGCTGCTGAGCGATGACAGCGGCGTCGGCCCGCGCCTCTGGATCGGTCTGCAGCTTGCACAGGGTTGCGTCAGCCCGGGGAATCTCGAACCCCTGCGTGGCTTCCAGTGGGTTACAGGAGACCACAACACCAGCTATAGCAGGTGGGCGAGGCTCGACGGCGACAGGGCACCACACTGCGGCCCTCTGTGTGTCACCGTCTCGGTGGCAACCAACGCTGCCCCTGGTGAGCCTACTTGGGAGGAGCAGCAGTGCGACGCAGAGGCTGATGGCTTCCTCTGCGAGTTTAACTTCGCAGCCTCCTGCAGGCCCCTGGCGGTGGATCCCCGCTCTGCCCATATCTCCAGCACCTATAGTACCCCGTTCGGGGCCCGCGACACAGACTTTCAGGCGCTGCCAGTGGGCAGCTCCGCTGCGGTGGCACCCCTCGGCTTAGAGTTGGTGTGCACGGTGCCTCCTGGTGCTGCTGAGGCGCGCTGGGATCGGGAGGCGCCTGGTGCTTGGGACTGCAGCGTGGAGAATGGCGGCTGCCAGTACGCTTGCAACGCCAGCGCTGGGGCTCCTAGCTGCCTCTGCCCAGGCGACACCGCCCTGCAGGCCGACCAGCGCTCCTGTGCAGCACCAGCGTGCAATCGTGCAACGACCTCTGTGAGCACTTCTGCTTTCCCAACTTCGATGTGCCAGGCTCCTACTCGTGTATGTGCGAGACGGGTTACCAACTGGCAGCAGACCAGCACCGATGCGAGGACGTGGACGACTGCATGCTGGTACCCAATCCGTGCCCGCAGCGCTGTGTCAACACGAAGGGTGGCTTCGAATGCCTTTGCTATGCCGGCTATGAACTGGTGGATGGAGAGTGCGTGGAGCTTGTGGACCCGTGCTTCGGGGCTAACTGCGAGTACCAGTGCCAGCCATTGAGCCAAACTGACTACCTCTGCATCTGCGCAGAAGGCTTCGCGCCCAACCCACAGGAGCCACACAGGTGCCAGATGTTCTGCAATGAGACCACATGCCCCGCCGACTGCGACCCCAACAACCCAGAAACCTGCCAGTGCCCAGAAGGCTACATCCTGGACGAGGGTTCCGTGTGCACGGATATCGATGAGTGCAGCAATGACTATTGCCCTGATGAGTGCCGCAACCTCCCTGGCTCCTATGAATGCATCTGTGGGCCGGACTCCGCCTTTCCCGGCCAAGTTGGCACCGATTGTGACCCAATCCCAGTGAGTAACACTGAGGACAGCGGAGGCTCTGGGGAGCCCCCAGACAGCCCAACACCCAGCTCCACTTTGAGTCCCCCGCTCGCGGGGCCCGTTCATTCGGGCGTGCTCATTGGCACCTCCATAGCTAGCCTGTCCTTGGTGGTGGCACTTTTGGCGCTCCTCTGCCACCTTCGCAAGAAACAAGGCACTGCGCGTGCCGATCTGGAGTACAAGTGTGGGTCACCTGCCAAGGAGGTAGTGCTGCAGCATGTGAGGACTGAGAGGACGCTGCAGAAACTCTGAGGGTCTCCCTCCGGGGCCCAGGGCGTTAGCGTGGCTTTTCCTCCTTCTTGTGACTTTCCCCTCTCCCTGGCCTCGCTTTATTCTCTGGCTACTCAAAAACATCCTAGCTGGCATGGCACCTGGAGAAGACCCTTCCCAGTACTCCCATGTGTAGCTGGAGAGGGGAGGATGGAAAAGAGAGCTCCATATTCTTCCATGATGCCACTGGACAACTGGGCAACAGTGGCAGATTTACAATGAAGACACAGACTGCAAAGTGTCCCAGGGGCACAGAAAGGGTGAGCCCTATTGGTCTGTAGCTTTGGGAACCAGACCTTGACACTGTGGGCTAGTTATGATGAAGATATTTATTTTTTTAAGTATTTAGGATTTTTTCTTTCCTTTAGTTTTCCCCTACATGTATGTCTCCAATATCCACTTTGCATTTTACATCTCCTTCCCCATACCCATATGTGACCCCACTTCTTTGCTCCTAGCTGTCTATACAGGCAGAACTTCTATGTGAAACAAAAACAAAAACACTAAAACAAAAAAACTTGAGTATTTTCTTTATCAGCAGCCTTGCTAACTTGTTCTGAAATGTCAGGTTTCCCGAGCAAAATAATTTTAAGAGCAGTAAAAATGTGACGGGTGATCAATGAATTAATATTGCTAGACTATCATAAAGTTAAATCCAAGGAGCTTTTTTAAAATTTTCATTTTTTAAAACAGTGAGCTTGGGTTTTATTATTGTTGTTGCTTTTATTTGAACTGAAAAAATAATTATTGTCCAGCTTTTTATAGTTTCCTTTATTTTCTTTTTCCTTCATTATTATCGCTAATTTTGGGCAGTGTTGAAAATGTTCAGGGGCTTGCTTTAGACTGAGAGAGAGAAATGCCTACCAAGAGACAGCTTAAGAAAGTTTTGAGTTTCATGCCAATCCGTCAGCTGTTCTGTCCCTTGTAGTCCTAAATGAAAGCAGCTGTACTGATTTGGAGGGAGAGTAGATTTGGGAGGTTGGGAATGGAATCTGGAGGATGCCAAATTAAGACCTTACATTAATGAGGCCCTTGGAGAATGTGTTTCACTTCAGAGGGAACTTGTAGCTCTGGCCATTTGAAGGTGGTCACTGGACAATAAATAGGGCCTCCCATGGGAGCTAGTTAGAGATGAAAGATCCTAAGTGCCTCCTCACCTAGTTCATGAGAAGCTTCAAATCTGCAGAGGCTTTTCCCCATCAGTCATTTGAGGACAACTGTTCTAGTCAATTTCCAACTTTCTGGAGAACATTAAATATGGGTCAGTAATCAGTAATGGGCCAACTTACACCTTTTTTTTTTCTCAAGAAACTGAGGAATTTTTATTGCACAGCTTTACTTTCTGTTGTTTTCTATTTGTTTGTTTGTTTGTTTTAAAAGATTAGGTACACACCTCTATATATTGCCATACAGGGTCAAGAAGGTCTTTGGTTCAACTAAGCTAGGAATGAAGTCATGCTTCAGTGTATGGAAAAAAATGTATCATATAAGTGTATCTTTTGTAAGGCAAAGGTTTTTCTCTACTGTTTTGTAAACTCAGCATATTTTTGTACATAGTTATTTATTTATTGGAGTTAAACTAGAACACAGGCAAAACCCTTGCTTATGATGTCACTTGTACAAAATAAACAAGTTACAATGTTCTCTTGAGTTGTATGTCTATTCACTTTTCCCTCCCCAGCCTCCTAATTTTATGTCATTAAATGTGACATATAAACAATCCAAATGCCAGCATTAAAAGCTGGTCTGCACCCTACTACTCACGCCAGCTATTCATGGTACCATCTCTAACTTTCAAATATCTTTCCTGAGAGGAGATTATTTTCAGTGTAGATGGAGTTCATGGTATCTGTGCATACTAATACTAATTTTTTCTTTCTGTAACCATAACAACTTCATACATTGTGACTTGTGACTGTTTCCAAATACATTCTAGGATTATCCATTGGGATGCATTACATAAACATATCCTTCCTGGGGGATCTCTAGAGTCCCAACCTGTGACCAAGGTTTGGCATTATCTCCTTTCTGAGATAGCCAAATTCAAAGTAGCCACGAAGAGTCGGTGGCTCAAATTTAACTGATCATTTCTAAATACCAAGGTCTCTTCCAGTGTTAAGTCAATCTCATCTCTATTGGAGATTAGAAATACTGTCTTCATGGCATAGATTGCTTGAATCCTTTGCCTGGAAAAGTAGAGCTGGTTAAATTTTACATGTAGGGTTAGAATAAAAGTTTTCATAAAGCAGACATGAGAAAAAATGGAGTTCAGATAAATATTCAAGTATTTTATACATTTAGATATGGCTGAATTTCTCAGTGTTAATCAGAGCAGTGGTTTTGGGGAAGACACAGGTGCTGATTTCAGATGAATTTGAAAGCTTTAGGATGTGTGTGTGCTAGTTGTGTGGGTGTAGGGGGGATGCAGCAACTATGCCCAGTACCTGCATGATAGCAAGTTGAGCAATGTTCCTACTGAGAGTTCAGTTAAGGCTACGTGAAAGAAGAGTTTAGTGGGTGAGGCAAAGCAGGTGCAGAGAGATGGTGCTGGAAGTCCAGGGGAGAAGGAAAAATGTCCTTGGTGCCACACAAGTGTCATGAGCCCTCAAGGAGTTTTAACAGGAGCATGCCAGCAATAGAAATCACTTGGAAAGATGCAGGTACTTCTAGACTTATTTACATGTCTTTAAGAACAGAAACCTGCAGTTTTCCTGGTAAGCGCCCAGCACAGCTAACATGGAGTGGGGATGTCATAGACGCTTGTATTTGCTAACAGCCTGGGGTCACATGATCCCGGGCATGGCATAAACTCTCTATATGGCTGTAAAGCAGAGTGATATCAATGTCACCTTGCTAGTTTTCCATGGGGAATACACAAGGTGAGCGAACACAGTTTCTGGCACATGATAGGTGCCTAATAATGTTGGCCTATGCTCCAATGAATTAGTGGATGCATAAGTGAATAAAGAAAAAGGTACATTGGAATGTTCAGAGTCCTGGGGGCAAAATCAAGGTTATGCAGAGAGTGCAAAGCAAATTTTCAAGCAAGATGTATCTCTTGGAGGGGTGTTATCAAACCTAGAAGGACTGTAATGGTGGGACTGGGGGTGTCGGTCTCAGCTTAAGCATGGAGGTGTTTGTGCAAGATGAGAAGCCACCTATCAGTAGCTATAAAATCCAGCTTCTAGTGCTTCTGTTCTTAGGACTGATCAAAGTATAGGAGTACACTGTTAACCCAAAGAGGCATGAAGAAGAGACAACAGGCTCTCGGGGGGCCATTTCAGCTGGTCAGAGCCTGAAGGAGAAGCTAATGCTAACGCTGGAAGAATTCAGGTCTCCCATATGGAGCTGTAAGGCAGGTCCCAGGTGACACTTTGGTGTGGACTGGGCCAGGTGGCAGAAGAACCTCACTTTCTAGCTTTTGGAGATCCTGTTGTTCTTGTGTTAAATCAGTATACATTATTACATCATTAAGGAAAATCAAGGTTACAAAAACAAAAACACATTTTTATCATGGTCATGACTTGATGGAGGGGGTACCCAACAAACTCCTCCCCTGATCTTTGGAAGCATTTCTTCATAAAATAATACAGGTCACACCCAGTTCTGCTTTCTTCCGTTTCCAGAATGAATGCCCAGGTTCAGCAGTATCTTTTTGTTTCAAGTGTGTCCTTCCTCCTTTTTATTCTGGTCAGCAGTTTCAGATGTAGGTAAACAGTCGATTTCCTCTCACAAGAAAAGCTAAATATTGTTTTAACATCAGATTCTAACAGCACCAAAATCCTTTTCAGCCTGTTTTGAAAGTGTGATTGTGGAAGTCAAAAGAACCCTAGGTGTGGGTTCCCTCAAAGTCCTGTCCACTTGAAAGTCAGCAGAGGTCTTCAGGGATCCAAGGAAAAGCACCACGATTCAAAGCTGGGGTCTATAACGATCATGCCACTCAGGTCACAGGCCAGAGGATTCCTTGAACCTCTGCCTAAAAGAAACCTTCTGTTAAAATAGAATGGGATGGAAACTACTCGGCAGCAGAAACCTACCACCCACCTGCATCTTCCGTGGTGGCCACATGTGTCTCCTGTTGTCTCCTCATATCCTCTCTGAGGCTGTCCCCAACTGCTAGTTCACCTGGCTGATGGAATCAAGCAAACCTTGGTTCAACCCATGCAGTAAGGAAAAGAGACAGAGTCTCTTCAACAACCTCCCTCTTCCTCCTTCTATTTGCCTCCTGCCCTACTTGGGTTTGATTCTATTAAGAACAGAGACTCCACTTTCAGAAAAGGCATTATACATCTGAATCCCTGGACACCATCACCCTTGTAATACATTTGTTTGGCGTCTCCCACTTAATACATATTTTTGGAAATGATGATATAAACTTCAAACACTGTGTGTGTGTGTGTGTGTGTGATATTCTTCACAGGGATTTCACTCCCATCTTTCCCCCTTCCTCCTAAAAGGCAGTCCTACACAAATCCAACAATAATAACATGAGAAAGAGAAGTCTGAAGGGGATGGGGTAAGTTTCACTTCTCTGTCAGTTTGTTTGGGAGTACCCCTTTCTTTCCAGAGCATAGGATATAGCCTTATAAAGAAGCAGCTGAAACAGAGACTGTGACTCAAAACCAGCCATAATCTATCTCTAGAGGGCAACAAGTGGAAATGACAGCTATCTGTTGGGGCAGGGACTAAGAAATACTCCTTACTCTGTTTGGCTGGAAAAGCAGCTTGAGCTCCTGGCTGGGAGGGAAAGCCATGCCCTCTCTTAAGTGCTCAAAGATTACATGGTTATTAGGAAATTAGCAATTTTCCCAGGGACACCCTCAAACACCCAGTTTGTTCAGGTAGATCTGGAGTCCAGGATGCAGGAGGTGAAAAAGTCAGCAGCATCCTCGCCTGGTGGCTTGAGGTCTCCCAGGCTGGGGGGAAGGAGTTCAGGGAGTGGCATACTGGGGTGGCCTCCCAGAATTTGGGGAAAGCATCACCCCAATTCTGCACCTCACCTGTCTTCCCAATGCTGTCTATCTAGTCCACCTCTTCAGGCTATAAATCACAGTCACTTTGAGGGTGATGGTGACAGAAACAGTCCCTACCTTGATTGAGGTGGCAGCTTCAGAACTGTACCTGCATGTCAAAATTCATAGAATTGCACACCTACAAAGAGTGAATTTTACCATATGCAAATTATACTGCAATAAAAAGAGATAAAAAAGAAATCACAACATGCACTGAATGGTTAAAGAAAGACTAATTTAAATAATAACACAGAAATCTTTGTACTACCTCTTGTCCTTCCTCCTCCTCCTTCTCCTCTGTGTCCCCAGGGACACCTGATGGGAGAACAGGGCAGGTTCTTGATTATAGCATCTTGTGAAAACCAAATTCCATTCCTGCATAGTTCTTATTTCAGTTTAAAATGGAATTCTACCTTCATTTGTGTGGTTACTTGACTAATGACTGACTTAGCCACTACCCTCCAAGCTCCATAAGGGTGGGAGCCCCACCCCATCTGCGTAGACTCACCAGGTTGTCTGGGATCCAGGTTGTCTGGGATCATGTGAGAGAGGCTGTCAGCACACACTGTCCATGTTCATGCTTGCCCACCCACAGATCCACAGAGCAGTGTTGGGGTGTGGTGCTAAGTAACTTAGTAGGGTTGTCTCAGCAAGTATGGCCTTAGGATTCTGACATTTGTGTTTAAGGAATTCGAAGTTATGCTGTCATCCTCTTAGGATAAGAGTGAAAGATGGAGTGATTCACAGCCTAAAACCAATCAAACAAGAGTTTCAATGCTCAAATTTGCTGAGATTCATGTCTGGTTTCTGAAGAAGCGCAGCCAAAACATGTCACATTTGGTTTATTTTACATCAGCCTTTAGACCCAAGCAATACCAGGTGTGATGTTTTCACTGGAAGTGAAGCCAGGAATTTCAAGATGTCAGTGGAAGCAATATTCACCTTTGCTCAAAGATAGAGTGCTGGCTAACTGGACAGGACTCTGGTGAGTGCCCACCTGTCATGTTCAAATGCCATTTCCTCACTGCCTAGGAAAGTCGCATACTTGACTTGTCATGGTAGAGTGAATTAAAGGAAATTTAAAAGGCAAAGCAAGTTTTCTGATGGGTAAAGTGGTGACCAAAGGCTATTTCTACCTGGGCTAAAAATTTTTTTCCATTCATGAAGCTGCGTCTTCTAGTCCTAGCAAGCAGAGCAAGACTTTTGTCAGCATGCCTCCAGTGAGACATCGCAGGCAGGTGAATTGGAGACCCTGGCTTTGTGAATTAGTGACTTCAATTGTCTGCAATTTTGCTGCATACAAACCACAAAGGGAAGGTCTTATGCAACCAGCTGTTACAAAAACCTTGGGGTTGACACCACTAATTAAAGCCAACAGGACTGTTGACTGGTTCTAAACATATCCCTGGACAAATGCTCAGCATGCTTGGCTGCTGCTGACTTGTTCAGCCCTGAGGTTCTGCAACTAACCAAGAGAACAGTCAACAGGAATCCCTCCACCCCTTTTTGATTTATTACTCCAGTGTCAGGGCTGTGTGAATGCTCACGGTTCACAAGTGACAGAAAGCATGCTCAGCATAGAAGAATGCTATGCTCCTTCTTACCCGCCCCGTGGTGGTTAGCACGTCTCTCCAGAGCTTGAGAAAGCAGTTTATAGCTGGTAAGAACTCAAAACTCAAAACCTTCCTTTGCATATATTTCAAGGGGAGAACTGAGGCTTGGAAAGCTCATGTGCTGGGCTAAAGTTGAGGCCTTTTGTCCAAAGCTACCTTTCTTTCAACCATAATTAGCTATGTTTAAAAAAACTGCATTTAAAAAATAGAACATGCTTTATTTTGTGCTAACCTGGGCAGATGAGCAGGAGGGCTGACAAGACTTGGTCAGTGTCTGTGTGAATCACCAGGAGGCTGAAGACAAGAATCCTGGACCCGAATACCACTGAAGCAAAGGCCCAGCATACCTTGTACACTGGGACCATTGCTAAGACCAGGAACCCCTCATCTTGCTGCCATTGCCCTAGGTGATAAACTTCATCTTGAAATGAAGTTCAGCCACATTTATCAGGTGTCCCTCCTGCCAGGCACTGGAGACAAAAAAACAGCTCAGATTTAAAGACTTCGAAGAAGTTTAGTACCTTAGGACCTTCCAGTCCTCAGTCATGTCTACAGTATACAGTTGAGGCTTGGCTACAGAGTTCTGTCAGAGATAGATGAAGATCTTCTGAATATGCAGACCATAATAACCACACATTCTCCTCACCCAGTCTGCCCTTTGAGATGTGTTGAATTAACATTTGATTGCCACTCTCAGATCATCCTGCTGGCTGACCATTTGGACAGGGTAAACATCCAACAGTTATATAGTCAAAGGTATTCATTTTATAAAGGAGAAGTTGGAAGCTACAGCCCTATGGAAAGAAGTATAAAGTTAGACCCCCCCTCCTAGAGACACCATGTGTTGTGCTGGTTGGTCCTTGAACAACCTGCTGATTGTCCAAGCAAGAACTCTGAGGATTGGGACTGAGTCCCCTATCTGGGATACATGGCACTAGTGCCTGGGACCAGAACTCCGCCTTCCTGTCTGTTTGCTGCATAAGATATCTGACTCACACCATATAGCAGTTCATAGCACATAAAATTCTGGCTCTGGTGCAAACACTTCAGAGGAGGACACCTGCTTCCCCCAGGCACTCAGAGAGAAGACCCACGTGGCAGCAGGATATCTTCTTAGGCCTCTCCCTGCCCCCTGGCCCTGCCCAGATCTTCACTAGCTTCCCAGTAGCCCTCCTATACACACCCTAGAGAACACAGAGCCATGTCTGCAAGGCTGGCAGGTCCACGGTGTTTTCTCTTGAAGACCCCTCTTCCAGGAAGCTATGATGCCATAAAGTTGAGGACAGAGGGTCTCACCCTTTGTCCTCCCTCTCCCTTCTGTCCTATCTTTCTGGTACCATCAGGACTCAATCAGTCAAACACAGAAGTATCTTTTGCTATGCTAAACCAGGTGACCCCCTTCCCTAAACAGCACTCCATACCTGTGTCATCAATCGCTTTTTCACTCAGAGACCAACATAAGTGTTGCACACATTTCCTTAGCATCTCTTTTGCTTTAGCAGCAGTAAAGCTCTCATGAGCTGCCTTTTCCTTAGGGGAAAGATAATTCATGCTGTGGGTAACCTAGCAGGCAAAAAGTGATGGCCTTTTGCTGTGTTCAGCCTGCATTTGGTAGCTACAGCTGCTTGATGATATCTGGCTCTTGATATTTTAAATAATGGGTGACAGAGCTGCCTTCTCCAGCCAAAGCTTGAGGCTGATCTCCCTCCACTCTGGCTCTGAGGTCTTTTCCTTTTCCCTTCCACTCTTCACCTTGGTATAAATTGGGGCTGAATTGGGATCTCCCACCCCTAAGGACAGGGGCAAAAAAATTACAACACAGGAGCTAGACTAGATTTTATCTTCTCCTCTTTTTTATTCCTGACCTAGGGCTTTATGCTTCACAGCAGACCCTTTTCTACTCACAGGAAGCTGCTACCAGCTTTGGACAATCCAGGAGACATTTGTGATTGCAAGCAGGGGTCAGGCTTGGGGGTTGATAAGGCAAGTGACCTAGGCTGTTGCACAAAAATCTCACTTAGTGACAAGAGCCCAGGAACAAACACAAAGGGAGCGTGCTTGGAGACATCTTCTTTCCTCCCTTCTCTCTCCATGCATGATGTACTCCCACCACAAGGCAAAGGGAACCTGCAGAGAACAAGGGCGCTGCCGTCCTCCACTACCCTCACCCAAGCAGTCACTGTAACAAGTCACACCCAAGTGGCCATTTCTCTCTCTCTGGCCACCTCCTGCTTCCCACCCTTAGAAAAACAGCCAGAGAGGGACAAGAATGACCGATACCCTAGCCCAGTTCCCAGAGTTGTCCTACCCCCACAGAGGCATCCTGAAAGTCAAAGTCCTGGGAGAGGGGGACAGCAGAGGAGTCCTCTTGTTCTTGGGGACTGCATGAAGTCTGCTGAAAGAAGACGGCTTTGTTGGGGACAGGTGGTTATTCTTAGGTGAGTCTCCAGGAGATGAAGTTGCTGGGCCATGGGGGTAGTGCAGACTCTGTAGGAGGTGACCTTGCCAGGGGGCTGGCAAAAAGGATCTTCAGAAAGTGGTGGTCCTGGTGAGAGGCATGGGTTTGTGGCTGGGTTCTGCGTGCATGGGTTCCTGCGGGCAGGGGAGAGGGGGGCATATGCATCCTGCCCCACCCCTGCTTTTGACAGCAGTGGCATAATAGTCCAGGGGCTCTTCTTCGGCACCTCCAGCAGCATCCAGGAGGCAGCAGCGCAGGCAGAGAACCCGTTGAAAGGAGCGGCGGAAGTTGTCGGAGAGGAAGCCGTAGAGAATGGGGTTAGCGCAGCTGTTGGCATAGCTGAGAATGAGGGACACATGGTTGATAGTGGCATCAAGGCTGGTGACGAAAAGATTCAGCAGCTGCACCACGTAGAAAGGCATCCAACAGAGTACAAAGACAGCCACTACCATCAGCACAAGTCTTGTGATCTTCTTCTCTGAGCGCCTCCTCTGCTGCCAGCCAGCCCGCAGGGCCACTGCACGCATCTTGCCCACTATGAGCAGGTAGCACAGGCCAATGGCCAGAACCGGCAGCAAGAAGCCCAGGAGGAACGTGTAGACCACGAAGACCGCTGACCAGGCCGGGTGAGGCCAATGTAGGTTGCAGGCCACTGCCTGGCCACCTCGGGCTGGTCTGGTGTCAGCAAAGACTGCGATGGGTAGGGTGACCAGCAAGGATGCCAACCACACGCCTAAATTAATTAGTTTGGCCACGCTGGGCCGACGGTAGGTGGCGGCACGCAGGGGGTGTACCACGGCCACGTAGCGGTCCACGCTGAGCACCGTCAGGCAGAAGACACTGGTGAACATGTTGAGGCCGTCCACGCTGAGCACCGCGCGACACAGCACAGACCCAAAGGGCCAGTGGCGCAGGGCAGCGGACGAGGCCACGAAGGGCACGCTTAGCATGAAGAGCTCGTCTGCGATGGCCAGGTTGAGCAGGTATATATTGGTGGCTGTCTTCATCTTGGCGTAGCGAAGGATCACAAAGATGACCAGGGCATTGCCCACCAGTCCCACCAGGCACACTAGCGCATAGATGCATTGGATGGTGACCATGCCTGCCGCCCCCGTGCCGTCGGACCGCGTCTCCTCTTCCCCCTCCTCGGGGACGCGACTGGCATTGGCCACCGGTGGCCAGGTGGTCTCGAGCCCTTCCTCGCTCCTGGGGGAAAGCGTCGCGGGAGCGTTCATGCTGAGGAGTGCCCACCCAGGGCGGCGGAGCTCGGCGGAGCAGGCTGAACGCCGCACCAGAAACCGCGGGCAGCTTGGCCCAGGGGTCTCGCGCGCAGACGCGTGGCGCTCACCCTGCTCCGCCTAAGTAGCGGCGGCGGGCCCGCGATGAGCGCCCGCCAATCCCCGCGCCCGCCGCGCGCCCCGCAGCCGCGGGAGCCCGGCCCGCTAGCTCCACCTGGACCCGAGCCCCTCCACGCTCGCGCTCCTGGGTACCAGGGGCCCCGCCCGCAGTGGCCTTGGGTCCCGACACGTTTTCCCACCTCCGCCGCCCTCTCCCGACTGCCGGCTCCGCCCCTGACCCCGGGATCTCCAATCCAGTCCACCGGTCCTTCCAGGGCCCTGCCGGCACCCCACCTCCACTGACACTGATCTCACATCATTCTTTTCCCAGACCTTTCGGTCTATTCGCCTGCTCTGCTCGCGGGGACCTGCAGTCGCTGGGTTCCGTTTGGGTAACTGGGATTGGCCAGGGATTACCCTGAACGCGCAGAGGTATTTACCCTGCACTTTATATTTCCTCCCCCTCGCCCTTCAATTCCCAGGAAGACCTGTTGCATCTTTAAACCCATTTTGTAAAGGCGGAATCCGAGAATCCTAAAGGTATTGTGGTGAATTACGTCTGTCCGAGGTGGAGCTGGAGATAAGCTGGTGGGGGTGGGGACAGGTGGGGGAGAGTTGTGTGTCTCAGTTTCCCCCTGTCCTCCCATCCTGACAACAGGGGATTCTTAGGTCTTTTCAGTTAGAGCTGTGTGGAATTGAGGTAGGGTGGGCACAGGCAATGCGGAGGCACACGCAAAAGCAGAGATACTTCAAAAGAAACCTAACCTCTGGCCCCGGGTGCTCAGTTAGTGGGGTCCACTTGCGCATAGGCTGCCAGGTGCCAGACCCAGAGACCCGAGACCCTCCACCATGCACCCGAGTTGGGTCATCTGCAGAGGGTCTCTGAAACATGTCTGGGGAGGAGAGGGTGGTCAGGAAGGATGGACCACAGTCTAGGTTTTCTCCTGCTCCCAAACTCCAGGGAGTGTGAGCTCAGGAGCACTTAATGCTGGACATCCAGAGGGTAGTCCCCAAACTGTACCCTAGATCTGGCAAGGGTGCAGCAGAATTGGTGAAATGGCTGTTACTTTGGAAAATAATTCTTAAAGGAGAGCTTGCCCTCCTTGGCTGGTGTTAAACCCATTCTGTGCGGCAGGATACTCTCTGAATGCCAGCCAGCCCCACCTCACCTTTGGCGGGTCTAGAAGTGATTGTTTGGCTGTTCAGAGGATCCCACTTCCCATGCTGGTGGCTGAGTCAGTGGTAGAGGGGAGTGGGTCAGAATGCTTTAGACCAAGTGGAAGTGGCCCTTCAGAGGCAGGGCTGGAGACTGCCCATGGCTCATGGGGGCCTGGGGTACACAGGTGTGACCAGCATTGTTCCAGACCATAATTGGCCCCAAATGGTGTTCTCAGTTTCTGCTACCTAAATGGGCCCCTCTGAGAAGATATGACCTAGCAGCCCTGCACCCCTTTTTAGTCACTTTTCAAGTGACTGTCCTTTTGTCTGGTCCTATTCATGTCATTGTCCCTACAGGAGAGAACTGTACCTGCAGAAAAGAGAAGGAGGTGGCACCTTTGTCATTTTAAGTAACGCAAATCTGAGCAAAGAGGAGCTCAGATTTGGGTGGAAGGAGGAGTGTAGGGACTCCTCCTTTTTACTCTGGACTCTGAGGGACAGCCTGAAATGACCTCTGCAGATTGTCTCCGCTGGGCTTAATGTGGAGGTGTTGTGGGGGAGGGCTGTCCTCCCTGTCTATTTAACACTCAGTTCTCTCCCTTTCCAGGGAAAGTTTTTCCTGTTGTTCAATTTAATGTGTGTTCCTTTGGAATCTTTCCATTTCTACTTCTGAGTTTCCCACCTTATGCTTCCTGATTCTGTCCCTGCCCATATGTGTAAACACCTCCAGCAACATAAGCTAGCATTTAATGAAATAAATATGCATTACTGTGTTACATGGCTGTTAGACACATAGGGTAAGCAGTTAATGTAAATGAGCCTAATTGAGCATATGAACCCAGCATTTCTAGAATCCTAGGGTGAGAGGACTGAGCATACATTTATGCACACAGTCAATCAACAAGTAATAATCCAGAGTTATCTGTCCCATGCCAAATACAGCCAGGGACACAGCATCCAAGGGGATTGCACAGGTGCCTCAGTATGAAATGATGCCCTACTATGTGCAGCTTTGCTGGTGCCCTATAACTGTCACCACTTCCCTGACAAATATAAAAGTGTATGGGACCACAGAGGAAGGTTGAGAGTGTGGAGGTCACAGAAGATTTCAGAGAAGGTGACAAAGAACAAAAGATGGCTGGGGCAGTGAGAGTTTGGGTGGCCTTGAGAGAGAGAAGCTGGCAGGGCAGGTACTGACTGCTGAGGCTGGGGAGGGAATGAGGTACATCTGCAGCACAGGGCGTTTGGCAGGGGTGCTAAGACTGTAAAGGACTGGGGGTGCCATGTGTGTCTGGTGTCCCTTCTGAAGCAGTGGAGAAGCAGGGTCAGAACTGGAGTCTGTCTTATTTCCTAGCTGTGGCAGAAGATGGCACAGAGCCCAGGTCTGTGAAGTCTACACAAGAAGCCCTTTGGTGCTGTTGCAACACCATAAACAAAACCATGAGCTTGTGCCTGGCTGGTGCAGTAGGCAGCAGAGCAGGGCACACCTGGGCCATTCCCCATTCACACTTAGCAGACAGGGCAGGGAGCTATCTTGTTGTGGGTCAGAAGATGTTCTTGTGTGGGTTCAAATCCCCGATCCATCTCTTATCAGGTATGTATCTTTGGGAAAGTTCTTCAAAAGCTTCATGTCTCAATTTTCACACCTGGAAAGTAGAGTGATGATAACCACCGTTCAGCGTCCTGTGAGGACCCACCATGTTGGAGCTTGTGCAATGACTGGGAGAGTGCTTGGCCCCTACTCAACACTTGGTAAGCATTCACTCTTCTGGGTATTTCTTTTCTACCCTGCCATGGGTGACTTTGAAGGGAGAATTCAAATGATAAAACTCAAGGGGAGGTTCACCTGCTCCACAGGTACCCAGACTATCTGAAGCCCACTGGTTGGCCACCTTCAGAGTTGGCCAAAGGTAAAGGGGAGGATATGAGCCATTGACAATCCACCCGCTGTTACTGATACTGCCTTTGTTGTTACCTGGGTATAGGTCTCTATTCATAGTTTTTCCATGTCCAACTTGTGTTTGAAGCAATCCTGAGATGCACGGGAACAGCACTAATACCCATCTTTGTTCAAAAAGCCAAAATTGAGCAAGCTTTGCTGACACAGCCTGACCGTTACTCTGCCTTTAGCTCACCTCTTGATGGTTTATGCTCAAATCAGACCCCTTCAGGAGTGAAAGGAGGCTTTATCAGCAATCACACTGAAGGGTTGCTGGTGTAGCTCAGTGGTAGAGCATTTATTTGCCCAGCATGCACAGGGCCCTGGGTTCTACTCTAGTACAGCAAAACTAACAAAAACGGTATTCCAGTAATTATGCTGAGATAGCATGCTTAAACTCTGACTATTCCAGCCAAACCAAGACATATGGATACTCTAATATAGAGGCTTTCCATTTTAATTTTATTTATTTATTTACATTAAGCGGCTATTCTTTATTAGTTTAATTTCTAATAAAAAAGTAGTTTGAAGTTTGTTAAGCACAAGGTTAACTTTCAAAGGGCCAATAGTCTTTCCAAAACATCACCTGGAAAGGGTGAGGTGTGCTTTTCACTGTGACACCAGGGCAAAACTGGAGGTGGCACTGAGATGTCCTGTGTATCCAACCCCAACAGTGGGGAACCAACCTGGATCCAAAACGCCCTCCAGAATAATTTTAAGGAGGAATCAGAGGAGAATTTGATATGCTAGTCAAGAGTGAACTCTTCAGAGAAGGAGCACTTGGGGGGCCTCATGAGATGGACACAGGGTCACATGGCTCTAGGAAGTGTGACCTTCTTCTTCCCATCTGTTTCTGTTAAGTTCTACCGTGCCTCAGGAGGACATTCAGGGATTAGTGAGGACATCTTACTTAGCTTCTAAAAGTTATTCAAATCAAAGTTGATGTCAAGAGCCCCTGTTCTCAACATGGTATCATCATCATGATAAAATATTGTGTAAGTGAAGAACAGGTTGGGTAATTCAGGTCTGATATGGACATTCTTCCCCAAAGTCAAGAAGAAAAATCCTGAGCCTGAGATACTAGGAGTTTTGATTCAGCTGACAATGCTGGGTGAGCGGTGATTTCTGAATGCCAGGTATTTCTGGAGGCAGCATAACATAATGCATTGGCCCAAGTCCCAGCTTCATTGTGCATCAGTGGATGACCTTGGGCAAGTCCTCCATCCTCTCTATACCTCCACATCCTCCTGTGTAAAATGGGATTCATCCTAGCACTGTTGGGGGCTGTTGTGTGTTCTAAACAGGTTGACACATGTGAAGCCCTTCAAAGTGTCTGGCACTGAGAAACTCTATATGTGTTTATTATTATTAGCATCCCCAAGCCAGGATCTCTGGCATATGACAGTTCAAAGCTCCAGGTGCCCATTTTTGCCCCAAGCATGCAATGTTAGTCAGCTTTCCATTAGTATGAAAAACACCTGAGAAAAACAACTTCTAAAGAGAAAGGATTTTTGTTGTTGTTGTTGTTGTTTTGCTTTACTTTGTTTTTTTCTTTTTGGCTTACAGTTTTGGAGATTCTAGTTTAGGATAGCTTGGTACTGTTGCTTTGGGCCTATGGTAGCAGGTCATAGCAAGAGCACGTGGCAATCCAAAATTGCTCACATAACAAGCCAAGGAGCAAAAGAGAGAGAGAGAGAGAAAAAGAGGTTGAGATACAATCCCTTTGATGACAGCCCCCCATGACCTAAAGGCTTCACCTCTTAAAGGTTCTACCACACTGAATATGAACTTGAAGAGGAAAGCTGGTACTACATTTGTCCACCAGGAAAGGAGGTCTAGGGAAACATCCATGCTGAGTGAAAGAGATGGAAGACAAAGATTACCAGCTGCTTCTCAGCTCACCCTTCCTGATCTTTGCTGGAGGATGTGTGTACTGGGTCTAAATGCTTGGCATCATGCCCAAATTGTTCCCCTGTGTGTTGTTAAGAGGTGCAGAGCAGGGCTGGACTGG